TTATTGGACCCAAGCAGATAGAGGAATATACTCGCCTAATTGTTGCAGTTAAGGCACAGACAAAAATGGTATGTATTCTATGAGCTATATACTCGCCCTCAAGCTATTTGCTTTTGTTTGCCCTCAAGAAAAGTGAAATATGTTGAAGTTGTGGATTGTTCAACTTTATATATACACTTTTACTTTCTTAATAGTTCTTAGTCCTTATATACTACAGCCAAAAATAAAAATAAAAAATGATATTGAATTAATTAAAAAAAAACATTTCTTTTTTGTCACAATTATTTTTTTTTTTTAAATTTCGCATTTTATTTCCTTCCAAATTTCATGTGTATTATATTGATCTGTTTAGTTCAGTCCATTAGGGTTCAGTGCAGGTGATGAGCTGCGGACCCAGGCTTTAAGGAGATCGCCACTGAAGATTTCATAAGCTGAGCTTTTACCAGTGTCGGCCGGCTAAGCTTTCAGTCGTGAATCCTGACCTCCTTCTCAAGCCCGGAGGTACAATTTCATCTTTTAATTTGTTTCATTTAACCATTCCTTCAAATGTTTAACTTTTTGCTGAACTTATCCGTGCTTCATTTTGATAATATGAAAAGCAAAGAATGAGAAATATTTGGAGTAGGTCTAACGTGCTATCCACAAGAAACCATGTAGATGAAAATCCCTTGGTGTAATTTTCTACAGAAATTGCCCTAAATAGGAGTAAAAACGTTCTGAAATTCCAAAATAGGAGTATCATGTTTTTTATTTCTTGAATAGGAGTAATCTGCCAAGTTTGGAAGAAACTGCCATCTTTAAAGCCTTGTAAAACTAAACTTGGCAGAAATTTACTCCTATTCAGGGAATAAAAAACATGATACTCCTATTTTGGAATTTCAAAACGTTTTTACTCCTATTTAGGGAATTATCTCAATTTTCTATTATCCTCAGTTAAAGTCTGGGATGGAGGGAGTAGTTTATTTTGGATTTGCAATACTCACTGAGTTGTTATTAGCATCATATTTTTTGAAATCTGTTTCTTAAATTTATGGTCAAAGAGACGGAATAAAAAATAGACCTTTACGGGTTTATTTTTTATTGAATGTATGTATTCCATACTTGCTGAATATGTTATGCTATGTCTCCACCATTTTCAGTCAAATATACACCTCAATATAAGTGGCTTAATGAAGAAATTACAAGGGTTGACAGTGTGAAGACTACTTGGTCAATTGATACATTTGTAATACATTTGCGTAGTTTTTTTATAAAGTGTAGTTTTCTCTCTTTACCAAACATTGGGCCTGACCGTCGCGCAACGCGCGTCCCACGCTAGTATATATATATATGTATATATATATATATACAAAATAATTATTATGATTATAACAAGCTAGAATTCGAAATCAGTAGTAGAAGGATTAAGAAATTTTCAAAATTCATCATATACGTACATTAAGTTATATATCCAAAGTTAGATACATGAATAAAAGAGTAAAGATTGAAGTATGATTTACAATAGTTAAAATGACGCCAAAAATTGTACGTTTATATTGTGATGTACGTTAAAACACGCACATAAAGGAAATAAGCATGTTCTTGACATGCAACTCTTGGACACTATGATATGATAAGTTATATTTTAAGCTGATTATGATGAAATCAGTTTAAAAAGTTATGCCAATAAAATATTATACGAACTTATAAGAAATAATACCACGTATTTTATTGAATATATAACTAAAATAAATGGAATTTGAAACCTTGTTTGTGGATTTGGATAGGTTGGCATGCCAATAGGGATAGTTAATACAGCCGTAGAATTCGATCGTTTAGGGTCCGCAACCACAGAGTGGACAGTACTCAAACGAAAGGCCTGACCCACACAACGGTCAGTGCTGATACTATACCCGAAATCTTGAACTTTGATCGTTTAGGGTCCGCAGCCACAGAGTGGACAGTACTCAAACGAAAGGCCTGTCGACCCACACAACGGTCAGTGCTGATACTATACCCGAAATCTTGAACTTTGATCGTTTAGGGTCCGCAGCCACAGAGTGGACATTACCCAAATGAAAGGTCTGACCCACACAACGGTCAGGCTGATACTACTCAGATGGTCCGCAGCCAGAGAGTGGACAGTACCAGATGAGGAATGTCTCGTTTATCCAGTCCATTAAACTAAGGAGTATAATTCCAGAAAATTAATAAAATAAATAAAGTGTGAAAACGGGTCGAATGGAATATGGTAATTACAACGAGCTATGATATTGCTCATGTAAGCTGACTATGTATGATATGGAGTTGTGAAATTGGAGACAGAAAGAATGAAAGGGAAAATACAAAAATAGAATTATGAAAATGAAAGAATGATATGAATTATGAAAATGAAAGAATGATATGAATTTAACAATGAAAGGCGATAGGAGAACATAATATTATACGTAGTATTCAATTGAAGGATTAGATTTTGTTCATGAATTAGTTATTCTGAAATAAGTTACGGTTGACTACCAGAGACAAGGAGAACATAATTATTTATTCTGAATAATTAAGGAAGAATAAAGTTATGATTTTATACATTAAATCTAATAGGAAGGATATATTAAAATAATTAGTTTGAACAAAGTGGAGTTCTATGTTTCGGAACAACAATTTGATCAATTTGAATTGTATAATTTGTGATGTATAAAGGTTGAAAAGGGAATTGTACTACTTAGTTATAAAACCTGGGTTATAAGTTGTTAAAGTGTTGAATTAGTTGTGAATTTGTGATTCATCTTATTTGTGTTTTGATCAAATTAAAGAGTTACTATTTGAATCGGATGTTGTTAAATGTATCGAATAGCTACTTGAAATAAAATATATACATTTGTTTTTTTATAAGTCGATGGGTAAAATCGTTTTGGAGATATTTATATTTTTTAATACCGGTTACTTTTAATTGTTGATTTATTATGTGATATTTGATATTTAAATTGTATGGAGAAAGAATGAACACCACTAAGCAAGATTTGCTTAGCGCATTGGATTTTTGTCCTGCACGTAGGTACTAGTCGATATATATGAGGCACAATGTTCAATCAACACAGAGTCACACTTGCAATTATTAATATCACATTTTTAGTTTGCATTAAATAAATGTATATAGCATATTAGTATGATGTAATAGCAACACTAAACATTTACTTATTATGTATAAAATATGGATGCTTCCGCAGTTACGAACGTTTATAAGATTATTAATATTTCATAAAATTACTATCATTAGCTCTTTTAAAATAAGTGTTTTCAGAATAATGAAAAGTTACTTTGCGCTTTGGTGCTTCGGCACTGCGGGTAGCGCCCCCTACTTTAACCTTCCGGGCCGGGTAGGGGGTGTTACAGACCGAAAGGTTAATTTTCAGGCGATTCAGGAGGTGCTGACCTCAGTTTGGCGTCCCGGTAAGGGACTATCAATCAAGGAAATCAAAGAAAAAAGGTATCTCTTTACTTTTAACCATGTTTTAGATATGAATCGTGTGCTAGAAGATGGACCTTGACTGTTTGAAAGAGATTTAGTGTTGTTGAAAGTGGTTCTGCCAGATGATATTCCTGAAAAGCTGAATTTATTTGAGGCAGATTTTTGGGTTCAGGTGCATAATGTTCCTCATAAATTGGAAACTTGAATTCTGCTAAGAGAATTGGGAATTTTATTGGCTCTTTTATAAAGTTTGATGAAAATAGTTATGGAGTTAAATGGAAATATTTTTTGAGAATTAGAGTTTGTATGGATGTTAGGAAGCCCCTAAAGAAGGGCACTTCTCTGAAGAAGGGAGGAAAGGGACATTGGGTTGATTTCAAGTATGCAAAACTACCCAATTTCTATTTCAATTCATTTGTGAGGTAATTGGGCACTCGGATAAGTTTTGCCCGCTAAGACATGAGGAGGGAATTACCATTGAAAAATCCTTTGGGGTAGAGCTTAAGGCAGGAGGAGGGGTGAAGACTAGCCCAACAGGTCCTAATAAGTGGCTAATACAAGATTCTGTAAGCTCAGGGGGAGGCGGACAAAAGAGGAAGACTGGCCTCGGGGATGAGCAGTCGGCTGAGACGGGTGCCGGTGCATCAAAACAAGGGGCGGATGATATGGAAGAGGAACCAGGAGAGGCTAAGCGCAGGAGGATATGGGATGGCAAGCTGAAAGAAAACACAGGGGGCGAAGATATGGCGCTTGATGGGTCAAAAAATGGGGAGGCAGCGAGTAAGACCTTCTAGACCCACCGGTTTTGCAGTTGGTGGTTTTGATCAAGAGTTCGAGTGTTGGAGTTTATTTTATCTTCTGTCTTAGTTTTTATTTCCACGAATTTACGTTTATGTTTTGTTTTTATTTTTTTGTTTGCTGTGAAACTCTTGCATTAGGTTTGGAGTTTGATAGGCCTGCGGTAAGCGTTGTTTGCTTCAATTTGCCCAATTTAGGTCTAGCGAGTTATATTGCTCAGAGTCTCGGTCAAGGACGGATGGTTACATGTGGTCCTTTCACGTTCTTGTACTTTTGCCGAATGCTATTTTAATGATATAAGCGCCTTAGGATAAAAAAAATCAAAAGCACGCCTTATTACGTTTATAGTTTATACAATCCATTTTTACGACGATGATGATGTGAAATCATCTTGTGTAGTGATCTAGCTTGCAGATGTTTATTTTTTACCTTAGGCTTAATTCCTCGGGATGAAGTGAATATTTTTATATGTGTTGTATGTGTTGTGTTGTCTACAATTGGTGGCCACAACATCTTATCATTAAAGAGTCATTCCTCTTTGTTAGCTTCAGAAAAGACATTTACATTATTTGATATTGTTATTTCTTATTTCTAATTTTCTTATCATAAAAATGGTTATAATATTTAGCATCTCCATATCATATTTCATGACAATTATGTCCAAAGCCAAAGTTAGTGAAACATAGATCATTTTAAATGTGACAACTGATTTATTTATATGATGATAGAAATATTTAGTTTAATTAAATATGTGGCCCAAACATTTACTTTTCTACCGACAGGATGTTAGTATATACTTCGTACGTAGTATAGAATAGTCTACATGCCCAAAGATATCTCATCCAATAACACATACAAGAAAACATCTCTCTTCAAGAGAATGGAAAGCAAAGCAATTGAAGCAAACATGAGAATCACTAATCAATGGAGGAAAATAAAATCAAGATTTCTTTGCCTTCATGGATTCAGAACTAGGGCTGATATTCTCGAGTATGAATTGCTCCGCAAATGGGACCCAGTAGTCCTAGATAAACTAGACCTAGTCTTTGTAAATGCCGCTTTTCCATGTCGGGGTAAATCCGACGTGGAGGGCATTTTCGACCCTCCATTTTATGAATGGTACCATACTAATAAGGTCTGATTTCTTTTTTCATATAATAACAATATTAATCTACTCTTTTTGTCTTCTTTGTGTAAGATTTTCACTTGTAATTTAAAATATGAAAATGGATATCAGGAAATGACTGAACCACATGAGAAAGTGAATGAATGTATTACATATATAGAAGAATGCATGATCAAATATGGGCCTTTTGATGGTCTTCTTGGATTCTCCCAGGTCAGCCCCGCCATTTCTTTCTTGCAAATACATGTATATATTAGTGTCCAGCTGTCCACAAATTTCATATTTCTCTAGATGAAGATGAGTTATATATTATGGATCGGAGTATAGGGTTTAATGGGTTGTTTTTTATTAACATTTTACAGGGAGGAATGATGGCAGCAGTCTTGGCTCTCTTACAAGCAAAGGTATACAAGTTTCTTTAATTTATTTGAAAGGACACGTATCTTTAATTAATACTGTTCGTTTTTAGTTAAACATCTTTAACTTTTCTAATCAAAGACTGATTATACGTAGTATATTTTTATATGAAAGTATTGATAATATGAAAATGCATGCTATAGAAATGTTTTTCTTAAATAATATCATGATCGGTATAAAATTTATAATTTTCACTAAAATTTAGATGTTAAGATGTGATTAACCAAAGTTAACAATCATTTCTATTATACTCCGTCCCCCTAGTTTGTCCCGTTTTACCTTTTTCGTCCGTCCCACTAAGTTTGTCTCATACCATATTTGGTAACATTTGAGTGGTTAGAATTCATTTTTATTTTATTCACACTTTATCAATTCAATATCAACCACATAATTCCACTTTTTCTTAAAAACCACACCACACTCTTTTGTCCCAAACTTAGGGGGACGAAGGTAGTAAAAACTAAAGATGGCTAACTAAATACTACTCCGTATTAGGGCTGAGCAAAACCCGATCCGACCCGAAAAACCCGATATTTTTTTCGGATATTATCCGAACCGAAGTGGATATCCGACCCGAAAAACCCGAAACCGAAAATCCGATTAGTATTGGGCCTAGACCGGGTGGCGGGTAGGGTTTGTGAAATCCCAACCCGACCCGCCCGAATATCCGAAATATATGTTAGTGTGTACTTTGAATATTTAAATTAATACTTGTGTTCAATTATTTGTGTAATTATTTATGCAATTTGTATTAAATTATTTGTGTAAATTGAATGTGTAGTGAACTAGTGTGTACAACTTTTGTTAAAGTGGCATTCCAACACTTTAACTATCCAATTATAATATGTTTTGAATCTTTGATATAACCAAAATATCCGAAATGTATTAAATTATGTAGTGTGTACTTTGAATATGTTAAATTAATACTTGTGTTCAATTATTTGTGTGATTAATTGTGCAATTTGTGTTAAATTATTTGTGTAATTTGAAAGTTTAGTGCACTAGTGTGTACAATTTTTGTCAAAGTGGCATTTAAACACTTCAATTATCCAATTATATTTTTTTTTTAATATAACCGAAATATCCGAAACCCGACCCGATATCCGATAATATCCGACTTAAAAATATCCGAAATACCCGATTTGAAATATCAAAGGGTCGGGCCTAGTATTTAAATTAAAAAACCCGAACGGGTTTAGGGTTCGCAAACCCGACCCGCCCGAACCCGACCCGTGCACACCCCTACTCCGTATTAGGATTGTCAGCTAAAAGCCTTAACTAATACTAAGCTACCTCCATTCCGCTAACATTAGTACAATAGGAGGCGACACGATTACATACTAAGAAAAGTGGGTTTATGTTGTTATGTGGGATAAAGTAAAAATGATTTAGAGTCACACGAACTTTATCAAATTTGATTTGTGACAATATTAGTGGGATATATAATCACTTGATTTTAAATCAAGTCATATCTAGTGATAATATTAGTCATTATACTTGGCTTTATATAATGTATATAATAGTTATTATAATTTGGTTTGCGACAATATTATTGGGATATATAATTACTTTATAATATAACGTGATTTTAAATCAAGTCATACCCAGTGATAATATAGTCATTATACTTTGTATAATGTATATAATAGTTATTATAATTACCTTTGTATAATATATAATTCTAAGATGCTATTAATTGTTATCATCAGATGAGCAAACTCAATGGAAGAATGGTTGTTAAGTTTTTATGAATTAATGTATTTTTAACAACTACCATGTTCATGCTCCTAATGTTTTGTTTTTTTTGTTTTTTGAATGATGTTCATGCTCCTAATCAGGGGCGGAGCCAGAAAAATGACTTAGCGGGGTCGAAATCAAATTTACATAGAATGAAAACGGTAGATTATTTTTAGACAATACCTGAATTGAATGTAGCTTAGATAAATGATAGTTTAAAAGAAACTAATAGAGTATATGTAGTTAATATACTTCGTATATGTCACATATATTATAAACGTGTTTTATACGGGTTGAGTTGAGTACCTCGGATGAGATCCATTGTCTTACCCTAGTACTCTATGTTTCTCTTCGATCTTACTCGGTTTAGTATCAAGATTTCTTACTAGAAAAGAATCATTTATTGAGTAGGCACTCGTAGCAGTAAGATATGTTGTCTTTGCTTTGTCCCTAAGTCATGTCACGTAAGTAACGAGTGAATTACACGCTATTTTGTGAATATAAATAATATTACGCATCACAATTTTACTAATTTCAAACTTAAATAGTGCTGATTTTGCAGAAGCCATAACTTTTTACTCGTAATGAGTTACGAGAGTCATAATATATCAAATCGAAGATAATTGAGAGCTATACACTCTTAAATTTTCAGCGGGGTCGGCTGACCACCCTGACCCCCAGTAGCTCCGCCCCTGCTCCTAATATATAAATAGTTTTATATCACGTTTGCACTTTTGTATAAAAAGTACTCCCTCCGTCCCGAAAAGGTTGGCCAATGTTGACTTTCACGTGGATTAATAAAGTAAAAACTGTGTGGTTGAAATTTGTGCAGAGGAGAGAGAATTAACTTTAGCCACATATCCTTTACTTTAAATGGAAATGGTCAATCTTTTTGGGACATCCAAAAAAGGAAATTTGGCCAACCTTTTCGGGACGGAGGGAGTATACACATATTCCTCATGAGACGATTATTCCCTAAGAAAATGGTAATTTATCCATCGTAAGGTACGAATTGGTTGAGTAGTTATATGAATAAACCGTAAGATTACTCTTTTGAGATTTATACTTGTTGGAATGATGCAAATTACAATTTGGCGGGGTTATTTAAAGATTGTATATTTGGGCAGGGTTTGGCTCTGACCAAAATTCCAAAGATTAAATGTGTGATAATAATTGGAGGTGGGAAAATAAAGGACAAATCAGGAGCAGAAAAAGCATATGGTTCGCCAATCACATGCCCATCTCTTCATTTCATAGGGAAGGAAGACTTCATGAGGGAATCTGGGACACAACTCCTTCAATATTTTGTTGATCCTGTTGCCATTTATCATCCCAAAGGCCACACCATTCCCAGATTTGGTAAATTTATGTGTTTGACTATTTAGCCATGAACTTGGTCTATATTGAGAGGACTAATTTAAGACATGATCAGAATGTACTAGCTTAAGGATGTTTTACTTCGACTCATTTCAATTCGAGACAAGAACAGATCAGATTTAACCAGATAAGACTAGATCAGACTAGACTCTAACAATTGTAAAAGACACATACACCATACATCTCTAGACCAGACCAGATTTAAACAGATTACACCATACTAGATCAGGTCATATCAAACATGAAATTTCAGTCCAATTAAAAACATCCCAAATGGACCATTTTTCAATTGAATCTATATATGAAATCATCTATATCTATATCATAAGTCATAAATATCTTGAAGTTGGCAAATTCTACCCAAGCCACTTGCTGATCATCATGTCTATTTCGTGTTTTTTATTTTTTTCAGATGAGAAAAGTTTGGGAGCAATGCTTTCCTTCATCGAGAAAATTGAAAGGGATATCAACAGGACAGAAAAATTCTCCTTAGGGCATAAATCCATGTTATAAAAAGCTCTAAAATCAATTTGTAGCTATGGATGTTGCCATGCGGGCGCAACACTTATGAAAATTAAAAGGGAATCATGTAGTGAAACTTTGTAAAGGTTATTAATAATGAATAATGTTTGTATGAAAATTAAATAAAGTCAAGACTTTTTATTTGATATTTGATGGATAATAGGAGTATGAGATTATATGTTATTGAAGAGATTTAGAGCTAGAGAGTAGATGAATGTGTTGTGTATGAATATTGATGAAGAATTATTAGGTTTACAAGAGGCTCTCAACGGGAGCATATAAAGAAAGAGCTAGTTGTGCCACTAATATGGGTCCAATAGGTCTAACTACGGAAACGACCAATCTAATAGAGACAAATGAATAATAAGATGTTGGATAATATACGCATTAAATGATATCTGCCAAGTGTAGAAGAGTCGTTGTCTAGACCCAATAGTCATGAGACCATAGGTCCTAGCCTATATACTCTATCCAGGGGCGAATCCACCTCTTAATCAATGGGAGCACATGCCCCCCAATAAAAATTCTAGTGTATCCCCATTAATTTTGCATTTCCTTACTTGATTCTAAATTTATTATTATAGTTTATATAGTATAGTATATAAATACACACACATATATATGTTTAATATATAGACTAATACACTAGCATTCTTTGAGATTGAAATTAAAAACTAGTTAAGGTGTTTTGATACTCCTTTTGCTTTTTTTGTATGTTTCTTTCTTTTATACATCTATACCTAGTTCATTTAATCTTTTTTGGGAATCAATCCTCAATTTGATATAATTTGTCTCTGTTCTTGACAAATTTCAAAAAAAAACCTTTTCACGTGCTTAAAAAACGAACAAAGGAAAATATTGTGACAAATTTGATTTAACTATTTTTCATTAAATTGTTTAGGAGGATTTTCATTTTTAGTACCATAAATTTTAGTTGTGCCTGTTATTAGTCCCGTAATTTTACTTACTTGTAGATTTGGTCTTATAATTAATAAAGCTTTGCAATTTCTGCCAAAAATGCATTCGGAGAAGACATCACCAGGGATCAAGTTTTTGGCGGAAAGTGTAATATATCTAGTGGAAGAGTCCTTGCATTACAAAAATTTATTGGCTACAAGACCAAATCGTTAAAAGTTTTTCAGGCACAACTGAAAGTTACATGACTAAATTAAAATTGCAAACCTCGCTTTTATCAAAATAGAGTCATATAAAAGTTATATACGATGAATTTCCTTAAGCAATACATTACTTTTAATGTATAAGTGGATTTACTTCAACGGTAGTTTATCACAATTAAAATAATGTACCTGGATAGAAACATGGATAAATTAAATGACTTTATAAAAAGTCCATATTTCAACACACATTTGATGCATGTTGGGATCAGATTATGCCAACTTTTCTAAATTAAATGTTTCACAAAGCACCTAATTAATTCAAGTCATAGTGTACCAGGTTTTGGTTTGTATTTTTTATTTTTAGAATAAAATTAGGGAATTAAGCCCGCCACCGGAGTCGGTGAATTATTTGGGATAAATTGAGATGCAATTGAGGATCATTAAAGGTTTACGAGGCACTAAAGTGGCATTGTTGAAGTTAAAGAAATTCAACAATCAAGTACAGGAATGAATGTGGACGCAAGGTTGAATCAGGGTGACGCTCTGTCGATTGTTTGAACATATCTTTTCGTAGAAAACTTCAAATGAAAGGATTCAAGTTTCTTATGAAAGATAAATCAATGGGCTACAAACCATATGACGATACCATGACCAGAATGTGAGAGGATCAAGGTGAACATAGATGAAGAAGTCAGATAATAGCTATTGAGATTTCATGATGCGACATTCCGCCATTTCATTCATATCTTTTGATTGGACCATCCAACTCAAGATTTCTAAGTTGTGATGGATTCATTATATTAGATACAACTTTGTTGAAAGGACCATAGCAAAATTTGGGATAGAGGTGTGCACTTCGTGTGCACAAAGCGTTCACGCTGTGCGCGGAAAACAAATTTTTGGGAGAGCTACAGGAGGCCGCGCATGCCATGTGCACTCCCTGTTTCGCCCTAAAAGTCTTATTTTGGCCCAAATTACTACTTTTTCTTTTTAAATAGCGTGTAAACCCCAGTTTTAGTGTACGGAGGTAACAAAGCTTATAGAGAGAGTCTAGAACGAATTTTCTATAGATATTATCCAGATTCTGGGATTATTTATATGTTCTTTATTTTTAATTAATGACAATTGATTATTTCCTTCACAATTCTGTTGATCTTTCAATTATGAATTGTGAGTAGACTTAATTAGAGATTGTGATTGATGAAGAAGGTATTAATTATGATCTAGGTTCCAATTTTTATGGTTTAATCGCATGATTATTGTTTAATTTGTGTTTAAATAATTTAATTGATATCTTTGGTAACCTGGAACAGCCGCTTGGATTATACTTGCACATAGAATGATTTAAAAGAGATCTAAATCATTCTAGGACACTTTCACACACACCTAATCATTCGCTAAGAGGTTAATAGCGATAAGGAAGTCGTCCTGCCATCTTCCAGGCGCCCCAGGTGGTGCTGCCTTCGTCCGCTTCTTCGTTCGAGTGTGGCTCCAACAATGTGATTCAATCGAGCCCACTTCCTCCATCAACGACAAGTGCTGTGCAGCCTACGTGGTCTTTGCTTGTAGCTTCTCTCCGACAACGACTCACTGAAATTCCATCTCTTGATTCATACAAATTGTACAATATGCCGAAACCCTTCTCGTGGACGCCAACAACTACTCTTACGCCACCTCCCCTGTTGCCAGTGGCATTATCCAACATCGGTGCTTCGTCCGCACCATTCTCTGGCCCAACCTTCTCTGGCCAACCGGGGATAACTCCACTGTCGCACAATGTCACTTCGGCCGCACCAAGTATTGTCAATACTCCGGGTTCCTTAGCTTCTCTCTCGTCACAATTGGTGTTTTCAACACCAAATGTGACTAATATTGTTACTACCCGATTGTCTTCCGTATAGGATTACTTACTGTGGCGTACTCAATTTGAGTCCTTATTGGTTTCCCATACTCTCCTTGGGATTGTGGATGGCTCAATTCGGGTACCTTCACCCACTGTTTTTGATGTTGCCAGACGTGAAGTACCTAATCTGGATTATCATCATTGGTTGAAAATAGATCAAACGGTTAGATCGTGGTTTTCTGCTACTCTTGCTAGGGATATTTTGATGGAGGTGTATGATTTAAAATTCTCTCATCTTATTTGGGAACGTCTTGAGACCCGTTTTATGTCTACCTTCTTTGCTCGGTCTGTAGAACTTAAACGCTCTTTATCTCACATTAAAAAGAAAGATTCACATACTATGGACCAATATTTGCAGGAAATCAAACTTATGGCTGATGCACTTGCGATGATAAAAATTCCCCCGTTAGTAACTGTGATCTAATGGAATATGCCATTCTTGGGTTGGGTCATGAATATGAGTCTCTTATCACGACTATCTCCTATTTCCTGGGAATGCTACTCTTGAGTCTTTGAGGCCAATTCTTCAAGCACAGGAGCAAAGGAACACTTTCATCCAGACCCAGGACTCTTCCACGGTTCATCAGGAATTTACGGCAGCACCTGTACCACCATGCCGAGGGGCTGCTCCTCACGGCTCGGGTGGTGGTGCACCTCGCGGACATGGAGGTCGCAGCAACCGAGGGGGCGGACCTCAGCTCGGAGTGGCCGCGGACGTGGAGGTCATGGCTATCACCACCAGTTTCAGCAGCAGTTTGGGGGATATCCGACCTATGGTGCACTTCACGGACAACCGGGTCCTCCCCCACGTGGTCCTCCATATCCTGGTGGCACAGATTTGGTATTAAGTAATGCTAGTTCTGGTTATGGTTTTACTAATCATCTTCCTACTTATGTTACTCATAATGTTAGTGCAGGCTATCCATCTGTTAAAAATTCCTATCAATCCCCTGCTCCGCCAGTCGTTTGTCAGCTTTGCTTCTCTCCAGGTCATTCTGCCATAACGTGTTCGCGTTTCACAGCTCAGAATACCCCTGCGCTAGATGCTTTTCGCACCGGTGAAACACATGATTCGGTCTGGTATCCTGATTCTAGGGCTTCCGCACACATGACTCCTCATGAAGGTATTTTATCTTCTAAAACTACTTATACTGGCCCAAATCAAGCATTTGTTGCTAACGGTACAAAATTGCCTATTTCTAATATTGGTCACGTTATATTAATCACGTCTGGTCGACCGCTAAATCTTAACTCTATTTATCATGTCCCACACATTAAATATAATTTGTTTTCCATCCAAAAACTGTGTGTGCGGATAATGTCTGTCAAGTGATTTGTGATAAAATAAAACTCCTTTTTCTGTTAAGGACAATCAAATGGGGGAGCTTCTTCTTCAGACCTCTAATAAATACCATGTCTATCCTTTTAATGCCTTTCAAGTCCGAGTTGTACATGGTCCCGTCTGGCACAAGCGTCTAGGGCATTGTGGTGATAGAGTTCTTTGTACTCTTAGGCAAAATAAATTAATACTAGTTCTTCAGTTTTTACTCATATGACTGTGTTTCTTGTAAGTTGCTTGGGTAAATCCCACAGACTTCCTTTTAGTGATGCTATTCATGATACTTCTGCTCCTTTGGAACTTATTCACTCTGATGTTTGGCAATCATCAGTTGTTTCTAATCTTGGATTTAAATATTATGTATCATTTATTGATGATTTTTCTAGATATACCTGGGTTTATCCTATGCGTAGGAAATCTGAAGTATTTACACATTTTATTCATTTTCAAAAACTGGTTAAAAATCTTTGGAATGCAAAAAAAAAAATCAGAGTGATGGTGGAGGGGGGTGAATTTGATAATTCTTTGTTTAACACACACTTTCTTAATTCAGGCATTTTATTTAGAAAATTTTGTCCTAATACTCCCGCTCAAAATGGTGTAGCTGAACGAAAACACAAACATCTACTAGAGCTGACTAGAACATTATTAATTGATTCTTCTATTCCTAGTGACTTTTGGGTAGATGCCCTTATTTACACTACCACATTTATTATCAATCATTTACCTACCCCCATTTTGCATGGAGTATCACTAGGGGTGCACAAGAATAACCGAACCTGCATAACCCACCCGACCCGACCCGACCCTACCCAACCCTATTTAATAGGGTATTTG